TTATATTAAAATCAAGAGAAAAAGAAAAATCTCATTTTCTAAAAGGGTGAGAAAGTGAAGGAATTTATTTGATTCACTTGAACATGTTTCCTTACTGCTAAACCAAAACTCTTCCCTAATGTACCTCGTATTCTTATTCGTGTACTGTATTGTATATTTTGACTAAATACCACATCTTTACAAGGTCATTAACTTTTTATATAACATTGTGTTTATCTTTTACTCATGTCACGTTTAAATTGGGCAATTATTTGGCGTTCACATACATGTAATGTCACAATGTCACTACAGAGTAACATGAAGGTAAACACCATTAAAACAAAGGATTGAGCTCACTAGTATTAAATGCACTAGTTAAAATGCTTTAAAGAGGAAAATGAGCAAACCACCTATCAATCATGGCAAGGCATTCCTTAGGCTTGTATTCTGGTGCAGTATGGCCGGCTCCCTGTTCATTCACAACAGATCATTGCCTATCAGCTTCTATGGCTTTTACTTGAAACCATAAGCATGGAAATCTATTAATCAAACGATATTAAGAGAAAATAGCAGGATTTCAATTCTTGCCTTGACAGTCACGTATGTCAAAGTGTATTTTTTCTCCGCATATGTCACTGTGTATCTAGTGCCAAAAAAAGGAAGAGGGGAATTCATGAAAAGATCAGGAGGAAAAATAAAAACTTATATGCTCAGTTCAATTAGAAACATTACGTACCCTGCAACCTGACCATCCACATACCATGGCTTCCAGTCATTGCTGACAGGCAAGCCCAAAGATTCAATCCATTCTTGTGTACCAACATATGGAATAACCATGTCATGGTCACCACTATATTGAAAGGGAAATTGTTTGTTAACTAGTTGATTCCTTTTATACTTTAGATAAAACAATATTATCTGATCTTGGCTTAATGAAATCATAAAACAGAATAGGGAAGAACAGAGAATTTGTTCTGGTATTACCTGTAGATCAAAGCTCGGTAGTTTTTCTTGGTGAGGTTTCGTTCATAGTCAATACTAGATATAAGGTCATGTCCATAGCATAAGCTGGTATTGCATCTCTCCCACTCCTTAATTGTCCCCTAATCAATGTAGTCAAGATACTCTTCATTATCATCTCTTAGATGCCAGAAATGTCTCAAGAAATGCATGTATTTTAGATATAGTAGCAGCCAATCCTTATTGAGGCTGACATACCTTTCGAACATGAAGAGCTCTTTGGACAGTTTTGTCATTGGCCCAGGTATATGATAGGAGATAATTGTAGTTCTGCAATCAGATTGAGTAAGCCACTTAATTATAAATTGGTATATCTACTGAGCTTCGTCTTAAAAGAGAACATATTTCAGAATTGAAATTACCCGACACCATGGTCCATCAGCAGCTTTAGGTGTGGAAAGGACGGCATCTAAAGAACTCTCTGCCAGAGAACTATGATCCCACATTGATCTTTTTGGTTTTGGGGACAATGTGTTGCACTTTGGTTCCAGAACTTGTGGGTTGTTTATCTTATTGAGGCACTGGAGATTGAAACACAGCAAGTCATTAATTTTCATGTATAAAAGACTCAATAAACACAGGTGTTGGTTTATATATTCCCCATACTCACCGTAGTGACAGCTTGAAGATCAGACAAACATGCTGCATTGGTTGGATCTGGACGCATGTATTCCCCATTGCAGTTCCTTTTGGTTGACTTCAGATGGTACATTTAGGTGTTACATGGTTTATTGTTCTATTTAGTTTGTAAAAGATGAAATGATTTTAGAAAGTCTATAACAATGCTAGTGATCAGTTCACCTGATAGAGACTATTTGACAAAAGCGCCTTGCGATGAGCAAATATGATTCTGGAATTCAAGTCATACTTTACATCTGTAAATGGATTGCCTAATATATATCCCTATGCATATATCCAAGTTAAAAAACCTTAATTAGCCAAAGAATTATATAGAGAACAACTCATAAACCAAGATGGGGGGATTGAATTGGAAATCTCTACCTGGATATTGGGTGGTGGTGGCTGCTGTCCAATCTCAGTGCCTGCAAAAAAAAAAAAAAAATGCTTTTCCTGTCAATGAGACTGAAGAACAACATGTTCTGTTAAGCAAAGAAGCTCAGGAAAAGTGTATTCATGTTGCTAATCAGGTTCTATGAGACATTTTTCTTCAGTTTTCAAAAGGATTGAACTGATTTTCAGAAACACGAGTTACCATTTGATAGGTCTTGAAGAATTACTGGAACAGTCATGCCTGAGTAAGAATCACCAGCTATATAAAGAGGATTTGTGAGGAACTCAGGGTGATTCATAAGCCACTGCAGAATCAATATCACTTGATCCAGTCAGTATATTTAAGTATTCCTTTAATTCCCTCCACAAAATTCCCTCACCTTTCTTATAAATTCAGAGGTTTGTGCCGCTGAGGAAATGTCACCAATATAATAGCCATCAGAAGTTGTTGAATATGAGAAACCAGTACCAACAGGTTGGTCCAAAAATATAAAGCTGGCTACCTGTAAAATATCGCCCTGTGAAATGAGAGCATACACTTCTATAAAGCATATGGCATCTTTTCTACAGAAAAGTGCAGAACCTTTGTCCATGAATATGGATTCAACATCAACGTCGGTTTGTATCCACTGGAATTTGCATAGTTGAAAGTAAATGGACCTACATCAATTTACAAATATCAATATTAATCAAATGATGTCCTATCGTCTGAATCACAAATAATTTTAGTTTCTAGTGTACCAAGCAATTTGTTTTAAAACAGACATTGGCCTTGATATTGGGAAAACAATAAATTATACGTTGACTGGATGGTATAGATGATTTGGTAGAGTAATTATAAATAAGAAAGAAATTTTTTATTTTATGAATTAAGAGTGCGATAAATGTATTTTTTTATAATAAAAAATTATTAAAATGGATATTAATTTTAATATCATTGTCACATGTACACATTTAATAAAACAATTAATAAATTAAATGTTACTTTTTATTATTTCAACAGAAAATTAGAGACCTGAGACTTTCCATTCTCCGGTCCATTTTTATCATCATTTGTCATCTTCATCATCAAGATGCCATTGAATATCTAACTCGATATTAATTTTAAGGGGTTGCAGTTGAAGAAAAAAAAATTGCAGAAATAACTATGAAATTAATTAAATATCCTTAACTAATTAACACAAAAGTAAGATTCATTAAGGGTATTTAAATAATGTTATGGGCATTCCTGTACTTTTTTTCTTGCAAATTGACCTGAAAAACACTTTTCTCTATTTTTAATTTAATCCCAGAACTTTATCAAGTGAAGCAAATGTGACATACCAATTTCATAGATAAGGCCAGATAAAGCAGAACAACCAGGACCACCGGTTAGCCAAAGTACAAGAGGATCGTCTTTTGGATTCCTCTCAGATTCAATGAAGTAGTAGAATAGTTGCACTCTCTCTGACTCTCCCACTCCAATATACCTTGATATATTACACCAGACAAAAATGGCAGAACTATTTGAGCTGATCTTAATAGCATAATGAAGCAGACAAAAATTCAACCAAGTTATACTCACCCAGTTTCGAGCTTGAAGGGGAGATCGCCAGAAAATCCTGGAAGAGTCTTGATAATCGACTGTGACATAGAAACATTGGAGAAGAGTAAAAATGGCAGCACAAGTACAAACGTAATGTAGCTGCTGAAGCTAGCCATGTCAATGTGAGTTCAAACAGGATTTTACTGCTATTTTAATAGAGATTATGGTATCTTTCAGGCAATATCAGAATTCGTAGTAGTGATAACTGATCAAAGGGCTTATCCACTTATTAGTCTAATGTAACCAAAAGTCTTAAGCATGCTCTTGAACGGTTGGTAATACCAGCACAGGGAACAAGAAAGGAGTGGACAAGATGCAGTTATAGCTTTATCACCCACTGATAATGTGTCTGTTTGGGATTACCATGTAGTGCTACGTGTTGGGTTGCATATTGAGCTTAAAGTTGTTATGCCATCAAGTAATGGTATATTTATAATAGGTGAACAAAGTATAGTATCTGATGTCAATGAAGATGCATTTGTCCTTATAATTATGCAGCGCAGACTGACTTTTGTGGAGCCATCCTTCCTGCCTCTATTTCATCATTCTACATAGTGACCTGATTTTATGGCATTATAGAAATTAGGAAGCATATTTTATGCATCTGTTTCATTAATTTATGAAAAGATCAACACATACGACAAAGGAATTCCGGACAAAGAATTCAAGGAAAAATGATTATCTTGAGTTGAACTCATGACATTTTAAAATGTCATGTTATAAACTGAAGGAACAAAGTTCTTGAGGCTTTTATCATTCCAATTAAGTTCCTTCAGAAGTCTTTTCCTTTTTCTTTTTTCCTTTTTTTTTTTTACATTCCAGTCCGGATTTGGGAAATCTAAAACATCCGTCGTTTTGTGTGTGTACAATTTCAAGGTGGGTTTCACTTCACTTTTTCTAATTGAAAAAACCAACATAAAGTGGGAATACAATCGGCACCAGAGCTTAAACATGTGAACACAAGACCACCTAATTTTAGAGCAAATTCTGAATTGGGAGAAAAATTTATTTGAGTTTGCATTTACATCCAACAAAACTCTCAAGCCATTCAACCTTCAACAGAACAGGGTAATCTTCCCCTACGTGAATACAAGAATAAAATAATACAGATACGTCCTAGAACATCATACAATTCCAAAGAAAAACTACCTTACAGAAGAAAATTCAGGAGAAATTGTCTCATGGGTTGTTAATTTTCTGGGTGTAAACATAATCAATGTGAGCTGTGAGAGTTCTTCTAATCAAGCACTCTTCTTCCCCAACTCCATCATCGCAGCCGCTCTCCTCCGCCTGGACCTCCTTCACCCACCAGAAAAATTATAAGCAAAGTAACAATCAAAAGTGGGAAATGAAGAAATTGGAAACAAAGGTACTTCTCATTGAGTAAATAAGTAAAATACCTCATGTTGAGTTATCACCGGAGAGGTTACTCCTGAATACAGAGGCTCCGGCCGGCTGGCACTAATCAGTCCGAAGAAGAGGAGGAGGAGGAGTGATATCACTGATATGGTGCAGAAGGTGCTGATCTTGGGTGGCATTTTGGGATTTCTGGTGAGTTGAAGCATGAGAGTGAGACGTTAGAGGAGGAAGAACTGTAGGGGGTGGATTTATAGGCACATTGAAGGGCAAATGTATAATTTAAAGAAGAGATTATGAAGTTTCTTTTAATTTTTATTTTATTTTGACCTTCTCTAGATTTCTCCATACCAGCACGGTAACAACTAACAACTCAGTTCATAATTAACCCTTTTTTTGCTATAGCTGGTAATGGATAATCAATATTTATGATGAGTATTGTTATTTATAATTAAAAAAATTTGACTTGTTTGAATAAATCTAACAACTTATAATTATTTTTAAAACCATGAAAAACTATCATGTCTAATATAAAATTAAAAAATTATTTTATAATCTAAATTGTTTCAAATTATAAAATACTAATCTTTAAATAACAGAAGGTCTCTTAACATTAACATTAAAGACTCTTCTTTTATTTAAAAGTCTTCATTTTATAATTCAAAATAATTTAAATAATAAAATAACAAATTCATATAAAAATATCATAAATTAAGAGTACCAAAGAAAAATAGGTTGTCTAACGGGCAATTACAATGTGTTTGTTTGGCAAAGCCAGTTTAAATGGGTTTTATTAAGTTATCTAATAAAAAAAATTAAAATTTAAGTTCCATGATATATAATTAAGATAAATTAAGTTAAAAGATAAAAAAATTACTTTTATTATATAATTTAAGATAAAAATAATAATAAATAAATGTACCCGAGCCAGCCAACGAAAGTGCCTCTAAGGCTAAAGAGCCAACGAAACCTAAATCCAAGACGAAAAAAAACAAATAAAGAAGAAGAGAGGGTAACCTAATAATTTTATAATTACTCAAGTGCTCCCACCCCTACTTAACCTCCATCCTTGCCATCCAAGCTTACAGCAGCTATTCTGTGGATGCAGATGGCTTGGTCTACTTGGTTGGAAAGTAGAAATCATAATTTCGCAGGCCAATCGAAATACAATTTAGTAAAAAATGGGGAAGCATATATGATGAGGTGCAACAAATGAAAGGAACAAACTTGTAGTGCAATACAATGATGACTTGAGCACGCTGATAAGGAAATAACCATCCCCACCATTTGGAGTATTGTCATATGGGGTCTTTCAAAATGATTCATATGTTCTAATAATTGAGATGTATCTAGCATGTTCTTTTGTAATGAGCACTTTAGTACTACTATAGCTAATTAAGTCTCCGAAGCGAATCAATGATACTTATATATGCATTAATCCCTATATTAAAACAATATGTGAATTTTAATATAAAATTTTTTTGTGTAAAAAGAACCATCTATCCCTTAAATTTAAAATTAAATATATTTATAAAAAGTTATGTTAATTATTTAAATTATTAGTAGTAATTTTTTTTTAATAAAAATTACAAGTTTTGATTCAAAAATATGGGATGTGAGTGAAAATGATAAAAAGATAAAAGAGACCTGAAACAACACAAATATGTTCATAAAATAGATATAAATTCCAAATTTTCCATCCAAGTACCTCGTTTGAAATTATGAGACGAGGTGGGTAGGGTTTTGGGTTGAAGGGCAAAAGTCTTTTTAATCCACCAACTCAACTTCAGCGCATTAACTTGAAACGGGTAATGGCTGAGGTTTGTGACCCATTTTGACTCATTTGACCTACGACACTGGTTGAGTCTAAGCCTGCAAACCCATGATAGGGGGGGGGAATTATGAGTGACATTTTCTAACTTAATGAACCTATTTGACCCGATCTGTGTGACCCATTACTTGAAATTTCTATATATATAGTATTTATTATTGTATTAATTTAAAGTTCTCTGTTTTACCATTTAAACTACATTAGATTATAAAATAAAAATATTTAAATAAGAAATAACCTTCAATTTTAAAAAATTCACCTTCAATAAATCTCATATAATTTAGTACTAGCTAAATTGTATATACAAAACAAAATTCAGTAAAAGAAGACAAGAGGCAATCCCATGACATATTAGGGTGAGCCATGGGTTTTTGGTTTTGATATTTTACATTTAATACTAATTACTGCTAAATTAGGAACCTCATATTATTACCATATAGTATTTGTTATTAAATATTAAAAAAACAAACAAACAAGCAAACACAACGATAGTAAATGAATTCTAAACAAAGCCCAATTTGGCCAATTGTATTTTTGAATGAATCACATGACTAGTTTACGATTTGTTTTGTCATACTATTTTTCTATCCATTGTCAAGGATATGATTTGTTTAAACCTTGAGAAGAGATCTTTAAGTTCAAAACCTTTTCTCGCATATCACAAAATCGACTCATACCTAAATGAAGTCCAATTATGGTGGTGTCAAAGGAAAGAACATACTCATGCCAGTCATCCACAAATCAAACCTTGTCAGCAAAATCAACAGCAGGTGCTTTTACAACCAAGCCAAACCCTGGGATAGTTATTAGGCTTCAACAACATTATAGGAACAACACCTTTTGTTGCCAGTGAATTTTGCCAGTGAATTTTGCCAGTGAATTTAGGTGTTCACAATCACAGGTGGCAGAGCAGGTCGCTTTCCCTTACCACTTCACCCCCTAGGAAGTGGTTACTCCTAACTCCGAGATTCGAACCTTAGATTTTCCCCCTCCCCATTTCCCAATGATACGTTTCCCAGTCCCCTTCCCGGCTCCTTTCTTGAACTACCAGAAAAAGATCCCTATCTCCATTTGTCCTTTATGACCGTTAACAAACAAGATTGCCCTGCCTCTTACTCCAACAAAGCCCACAAAGTAGAAGCTCGCTCCTCAGTCCTCACTACTATTTTCCTTTAGAATAATCCAACAAAGAGACGTTCTGTCTGTTCCAATCATTATGCATCCATCCTCTCCCCAAAACTCTCTTCCCCATTCAGCAGGTTCAGATGGCTTCATCACCTCAAAAGGCACTTGCAAAGCAGCTCAGGAAGCATCTCCAAGAGCAAGAGGAGCCTTTTACATTAGACGTGTACCTTTCAGTAAGAGGGAATACAACGAAATGCTTGAGCTCTCACTTGGGAAATAGTTGTTTCTCAATCAACTTGTTCCAGAACCCAGAGAGACCATGCAGTCTGTTCTGTTCCAGTTCATTTCTACAAATCCAACCCAGGAGAATTCCCTTTCATATTGTAGTAAAGCCCAGAAGGATGAAATTTCAGAGAGCTGAAAAAAGAGGATTTGCTGCAAGAAAGGTACTGACTTTATTTAGCCTCTACTGTCAATGCATTATTGAAGAGGAATCTCTGCATCCAAGATGTCAACACAAGTCTTCGGGCAGTTGTCATCCTTTATATCTTGGAAATATGAAACAACAAGAGGTACATAAACATCTACACATTATGATCATGTACTTGCTGACATATGTTGTCATGTAAAAACAATCAAGCTCAATTAAAGATCAAACATACTCAATGCATTAAAGAACAGTTGTGTTGAATAAATGCAGCAAAATTTTAAGCTCAGTTACTCAAAAGGCTTACAGACAACTACAAATACACAGCAAAAGAGCTAATGCATGAAAGTAAAGCACACCAACCTAGTATCAAAACTAAATGAAGTGTCATGGAGAGAAGGTTCAAGAGTTCTATACATTCTTCTTGTTGATTTGGAGTGTCTCTAGTTGTCATCTTATATTTAAGAAAAATGAAAGAAGAAGAGTAAAGTACAATGCAATAACCAATTCTTTCCAATGAAACAGTACATCACATCCACAAGAGAAGACACAAAGTTTTAATTCTCACTTTGACTGAAATACTAAAGCAAACTTTTTCTCACCTTTTTTCAGAGCTTCAAGTAAAACCAATGACTGAGAGGTGCATCAATAATGAATTTACAGAACACAATGAGACAAATGAGCCATTTTCTTCCCAGCATCAGAGAACCAAGGGATAATTAAAGCTAGGGAAGCTTCTGTTTAATTGCATTGATGAATCCACAGGAAACCCATATCCAAGGTAGCAAGAAAAATAGACAACACTGCATTCAAAAGTTTATGGATCTGAAAGGGCTTGACAGGCATAATGACTCATGGAGGAACAACTTCAAAGCTATTACAAATGCAGACCAGATAATGAGCATTTGCTTCTCTAGCACATTTGATGAATGGAATTTTTCCCAGAAACTGCAGAGGAATGTAGGCATAGAAATAGGGGATTCTATCCTGGACGCAAATGTTGAAGAAATAGTTAACATACTCTTATAGAAAAACAGATAAACTATTCAATAATAAAATGACCTGAAGGGTCTTTTATAAATTTTCCAGGAGTGAAACACCTAAGTTGGATACCAAGTACCAACCTTTGGCACAGAATTGAAACATGCAAGCCTTTGACAAACTTAGACTTAAAACCACTTAAGTAGTTAAGTTCTAGGCTGGGGTTTCTGAAAGAACTCTCCATTCTCATTTCTTTGTGTCAAATTCAACTTCATCAATCAATAACAGGTAAATAGCTATATATTGATGTTTTTTATTGTGAAGTTGACCATGGCATAAAAGGAGAAAGGCTTACTAACAATGGCAAACAGAAAGAGGCAAATGAGGGAGGGAATATAGACCAGCACAATTTTGCTTCATGTACCTTGTGTTTAAACAGCTAGAGATGAATAATATGTACAACTGTCCATAAGCAATGCAGAAAAATGTATTTGTTAGTCCTACCTCACAAAAATTACTAGTCCCACCTCACAAAAATTACTAGTCCCCTCAATTCAAAACGACGTTGTTTCAAAAACACTCTTCAACCCCTCCCAAAAACCACATAGTTTTGGAAGGGGGGCCAAAAGGGTATTTATTTGGAACCATGCAATTTTCAGGAAGTAGCTAAATACTGTTTATTGAAACTGTGTAGTTTTGGGATGGGGCTCCTAATTTTTAGGAGGTGGAAGACTAAGAAATACTTTATAGATTATGATACCAACAAAATGATTAAGGCTCAGGGGGACCAACAAGAATATGCTACTCAAAGAATGTATGCCTCATAGAAGAATAAGCAAATCATAACTAATCTGCCAAAAAAAACCACAGTAATGAAACTTGATATTTTTGTTTCTTTAACTTTATGAAACATCCATGAAGAAATCTTTTCATCATTGAGAAAGTCATAACAACAACATTAATTCTCAATTATTCCACTGAAATGATTGCATGTGTAAAATTCAGTTTTAAGCATTTATGGGGAATAATCAAGCATTTAATCTAAACACATAAAGTTGCCACTCGCTGCTGCTTATAAACCAAAAACCAAATATGATACTAATACAACATTGCCACAGTTACAATATGATCAACATCCAAATACAATAAAGATGATTATAAGTCCCCTCAAAAAATAGATATGATGAGAAGAAAAAAGGAATTAGAAATTTATAGGAAGAGATAACTACCGACTTTCCCTCTCCTCACCAAACTCCCCATCTTCAAGCTCCACTTGATCACCACTTCTACGAGAACCATTCCGATGCTCTCTCCTATGCCTTTTATGCCTAGTTTCACTGTCTGATTCAGGTGTGGATGCATGCTGCAAATTTACCATTTTTAAGGAACTGTTAAATTCAAAAACCAACTTCACAACCATTTCCAACAATCTGATAAAAAAGCATACCCGTTTTGACTTTTTTCGATCACTGCTATGTCGGTGAGAATGCCTAGTTCGGTCTTTCTCACTTTCATTGAAATCATCAACCGAACTTTTGTGTCGCTTGCGATGTTTTCTATCGTCATCTTTTCCTGATCTCTTATTCTCATTAGAGGTATCAATTTCAACCATATCATCATTACCTCCATCCTTATTGTGTTCATCCTTTTCTCTTTCATGCCCATTCTCCTTTCCCCTTCCATGCTTAGCCTTCCTCCTTTCTCTGTCCTCTCTATCTTTTTCCTTCTTCGCCTGCAGAAATATAGTTGAAATCCAGTTTTCTTTATTAGAGATGAACCAATTAAACATGAATTTTTTTTATATGAATTAAACATGAAAAAGAAAAAGAATCTTTTGTTGAGTCACTTGCATTCTAATAGCAGACCACGAAATACAATCTACATCAAATACTAACAAGACAATGAATGAAAACCCCATCCCACCGATTCATTCTATTTAGACCTAATTATCTGCAACAACTTGTTTTGGCCAAGAAGAAGTTATCCACATAACTAGAAACATTGTCATATATGTCCTTGACTTTCACCTTTCCAGCCACTCAGCAAATTTGTGCCTAATTAATTCATTCAGGCATGGTAATTGATCCCCAGATTAAAGTCACAGACACTAAGACACTAAGGCTAGGGGCATGCCGCTCCAATATTATCAAAACTTAAACTGAGACCCTCACCTTTTGGACACATTCATTGCTAAGAAAAGCTAAGTTGAAGCCAGATACAACTTCAATAATTTAACATTACGTCCACTAGAAGAATTTTTAGACAGCCCATACCCAGCTCAAGCACTTTCAAGTTTAAATGACACCAATATCCAGTTATAATTATAACAATTGGATACACTAAACCACTTATCCGTGATTTGAAATCCAAGCCCTTTCGTGCAAAAAAAGTAGCATCCTCAATTAAACCCAAAATAGAACCATGGATATACACATCCAAACCTTATTATGATGAGATATCACCAGAGAAATTCAATCAATAGCATTTTCAAATACAAATGTAGGTGTTTGGACAATCCACCACATGTGACCATAAGACAATTACCAGACATGCATCTATGGTTGATGGAAATAAGCAAACTAAATTACAGACTTCATAGTCCATATTGCTTTCTCTTTTGTGACAAAAAACAGTTCATATTGCTTTCAAAATGCAGAATATGTATTTGCATTCTAGATATTAAAATTTTGCCCTCAGAAAAAGTTAAATTTCAATTCTTCCTTTTTTTAAAAGAAAAGGTTTATAAAAGTTGTAAGTTTATAGAAATTGCAAACTATGCATTGAAACTTATCCAATACCTTTTCCTCCTTCCGTCTTCGTTCATTCTCTTTCGCCTCTTCTTTCAACTGCATTATGTATTCATCAAAAATTTCCCTGCAGAAGATTTCATCTCCAATGGAACTACACAAAAGAAAATTCAAGAAAATCAATGATTATACTTGACAATGTACATCTTGTAAAATAATCTCTAAGAGAACTCATGAAATTCAGAAGTAAAATATCAGGTGAAGATATTCGCCATAGCAATACCTGAACTCTTGACTACTTTCGAAAAGATGTTTGCAATTCTCCCATGTTGAAGATGAATTAAGTTCCTTTAACAAAGTGAACAATCAGATAGATGAAACAAAAAGAATTCCCTAATTGACAACTATTTGACTATTTCAAATTAAAGAATGAATGACAATACTTGATACAGCTTGTCATACCTTTATCGAGTGCAGTAGGTTAGAAAAGTCATCAGCAAGACGTTTACGCTTTTTAGCTTCTTTCTCTTCCTTCTCTCTGGCTCTTTCAAGCAACTCATCAAAAATTAACTGCAGTTGTATACACAGACAGCTAAGGCATTTTTCTTATGATATTGGCCAAAAGATCCCATTTGAAGGACAAACTGGAAGCCAAGAAAAGAAAAAAAAAAAAAAAAAAGGACAAACTGGAGCAGACACAGAAAACTTCATCCTTGAATCACAATCACAAGATAAATGGAATTAGAGTTATATCTTTTTAATTAACTGATTGCTCCATGCTTGACTTCTTCATTTTCCTTTTCACTTTTAAAAACAAACAAAGGTTTATGTTCATATTCTAACTGCAAAAACAATGGTCTGGCTGCATTTTCAAATTTTAATTCCTAAACATAAACTAGGGGACAAGCTTCACACAATAAATTTGAATCCATATAAAATCAAGATAGTTTAGAAGGCACTAAGAAAATGAAGTAAAAAGGATTGACCACATAGAATACCAACCTTACACCAAATAGAACTCAAGTAAAATTAAATTATTAAGTGATTTGAATGATAGAAGTAAAAAGTGGTTCACCTTTCATCAAGGCTTATGGCTATGGAAAAGTTGGAGATTTTTTGTCAGAACTCATAAGCCTAAGCCAGAAACAGTAATTCCGCATGCTTTATTATGAGCTAACCAAGTAAAGCCACAATATTCTTTTTGACCATCAAATCCATTCAAAAGAGTTTCTTGTATGATTATGATGACACTCATTATCTTTTGCATTCTCTTTTCCTTATTCCAGGCATTAACACCAGAGTACACTTTAATTCGGTGGAACCAAGTGCAGAAAGATTGAAACAAGTTGATTTTCTTTCATCTATGGTGCACTGATCACAGTGAAAACTTTCTCCACATAAACAACATGCATCACAAATGTACTCTGGTATTCAAACAAAATCATAAAACCAGTGAGAACCCACTCATTACCTTAAAGTTAACATCTGATATAGGTGGAGAGCTAACATCCTCCAAAATGGCAGCCTTCAAGTCTTCAGGTGTCCAAGTTGATGAAAATGAAACCTGTATAGGCACCAGCATATAAGAGAATAAAACAGATGATGTTTGTCTTGAAGAGTATAAAAAGTGCGGCCATACCTTTCTCAACTTTACTGCATCTTTTACACGAACCTTATCCTCATGGTACTGTAAGATGTAAATGCACAAGAAAGGTAACTATGTTTATGTAACCATAATGTAACTAGCTAACAATTACAGTTTCTACCATAAGAACCTAACCAAGTAACCATGGACAGACTCTATTTTGTCGACATGCTTGAAGAAAGAAAACTAATTTGTTTGGTTCTGATCATGACAAAAAACTACAGAGTGAGAAAATAACAAAACCATTATTAGAACTAGCGGCTGCAACGTAATAAGTAGGCTCCCCGGTCTTTTAAGAGAGAAACCCAGTAGAATTGTTTGATACCAAGCAGAATAAGCATGCCTATATGTCAACAGACTATAGGCATATAATTGTCTTTGCATTTGAAAATCACAGTTTCTTCAATTCCATAAGAAGGCTCTCCAAAGTCACTTAAAATTATGATAAAAATACAACTTGGTTATTGATGCTTTCCCTCCCACTACAGTTTCACATTACATTAGGAGAATTTTTTAAGTTAGTAGTTCTACTTAGTTAATTTTAAGTGTCATGAGAACCATTCTTCAGGGGGATTTTAGAAACAATAGCTATGTAGCAGGAATTCTGAGGCAGAAATTAGGGCTCTTAAATTTCATTTACAATTTGTGAAGATATTTACCAATAAGTGAAACACAAATACAAGGACTACAATTTACCTGTTTCTGTAGCTCCTCAGCTACATCTTCAAACAAATCTTTTGGAGTTGAACCTGAAGTGTTTGATGCAACTGCCATAAAGGCAGGCAAATCCTTAACCTAAAACCAAAATCAAAGACATGAAATACACATTAGAAAGCTTGAAAATACATAAAGTTGTTTTCCTTCCTACAAAACTTAAAATGGCTTGCTAACCATTGTGCAATAATCACGCCAGTGGGTTTTGGCATTAAGAGTGCCTGAAGCAACATCTCCGTCCATCAATTTACGGAACTCATCACGATTTTTACGCTCTGCCTTCCTCAGTTCTTCCTATTTTAACCAGAAGACTTAGATAAGAACCCAATCCCCCAAAGAAAACACCAACAACAAAGGAAAAGACCAACAATGTCAGCACCTTCTGTATCTTTCTCCGCTCCTCCTCTTCCTTTTCTAAATCACGAATATATTCCTATAAAAAATCTCAGCATTAACTCAGAAAATAATTGGAAATTCTTAACAGAGTTCAGAATATGAATACTGCCAATAGATGAAAGGAGAAACTAAACCTGAAATATTTCCACGCGATCAAGTTTTTCAAGACGTGAACATCTTTCATCAGACTCTAAGAGGTCTTGAACTTTTCGCCACTGGCTGCTGGCCTGAAGGAGGGAAATACCACATAGAGATCAATGGTGAACAACAGACCGATAAATAAAACCTAATAGTATGTTTGAATTGAGGGGAACAGAGAGGATAGGAAAGGAGGGGAGAGTTTTTTAACCAATCAAATTATAACGTTTTAATTATAATGTTTTAAAAATAATGTAATTTGATTGGTTAAAAAATCTTCCCCTCTCCTCCCCTCCATTCCCCTCAACCCAAGCATACTATAAAACTTCTAAAGAGGTACCTTAATAAAATCACAAGATTCCAAGAACTGCCTGTACTCTACAATATTCCGCTTGCGCTCCTCCTGTGCCTTTGCCCATTCCTAACCAATAAGTGAAATTCAAGAACAATAAAGAGTGCAAGCTAAACCATAGTTTCAAAAAAAGGCTTGATTCCTTGTTGAGTTTTTTTATGAAACACTCATTATAGTTTCAATATGAAATACACAATCACTATTTTACAGAAAAAGTTAATGAAGTAAAGAGCAGAGTAAAAAAATGAAGAAATATAAATTAACCTATCCATGCATTGCTCTATGCAAACTTAGAATTCCTCCCCTAATCCAACCCCCCACCCCACCCCTCTCCTCCTACCTAAATTTAATCTCTCAGAAGCTAGCACATCTCCATGCCTGCCAACATGAACAGATTCAACAGAACACTTAAACATCCTTCCCTTATATTCTCAATACTCCTGGCAAAAATCGAATCTAATGGTCTACTACTGCAGTTGAGCAAAAATTCTTGGAGGGAGTAAAGTGTTAACATTATTTAGGCTTATTAGGTGAGTTTTAGGGACTAATTTGCAATTTTAATTAATTCTAGGGCCTCAGGGAAATAAGATTGTCAATCTATCATTAGTTTCCTTTTTCCATCAGTATTTAATTATGCCTTCTAGTCCTCTATTGGGGCTTTAGCATCTATATAAATGCCGTAATGCATTAGGTTTAGGTATGTTCTGGTACCCATCCCCCTTTCCTTCTAACTTCCCTTTATTTTTCCTATTTTTCACTATTTTCCCATCCCTTTCTATCTATTTTTCTCTATAGTCTTTTCTATTTCTCGTTCTACATCACATTCTTTCTGATATTAGAAAGAATGTTGCATGCTTATCTAAAAGAGATTCAACAAAACATTCATATGCACTGGTTGATGGATTAAATGGAAAAACCAGGGAGCTCATTTTACTCCATTAATCCATGCACGCAGCTATTGGGAATATATAAGGGCTAGAAACATACTTTCTGTCTGAGTTCCTCAATGTAATTCTCAAACAGATCCTTGCGATCTTTTTCCCGCTCAACAGCTTTGAACCGCTCATCATCTTCAAACATGGTTTGTGCTTTGCTGAATAATATTCCAAAAACATTCATAAACAAAGACAACTAACATTAAAAACATTCAATTAACAATATAAACAAGGTTACAAACTCTAGTATAAGATCCAAGCTAGACAGGTTGATATTTATGTATGGAAATACAAACCTCCATCTTGTGGATGATGTCAGCTCCGTAGAATCCTATATGATAACAAGGAGTATTAAAAGGAGAAATGAAAACATAGTTTCAAAAATTAGAGATGATAGAAATCCCTAGTGAAGCAAATGACCTACTTCTAACATTTTTTTGTATTCTTCTCGTGCCTTTTTCTGTTTAGTTCGCCTTTCCTCAACCTCCTGCTTTTTCTTTTGTGTCAAGAACTGACAAAAAAAAAAAAAGATGATTCTAATACATAAATATCGCTAAAGATATCAAATGAAGTAGAGATGCTAGTTATAAAACCAAACAGGTAAGTAAATTGTTTGCCTCTTACACATTTCAAGCCAAGCAGACCACAAACATACTGAACAAGGACTCAATTAAGAGATGAAACAAAATGAGCATTTACCTCATTAAAAGCTTGCTTCCGCTCACCAAGTGTTCTCAAAGCACCATATCTTTTGTCATTAATTATTACTCTCAAGGCCTATAATAATTATTATCAATATAAGTGACTTGAAAAAAGTGAAAATTCATTAATCATTTTTAAATTAATTCAAACTACCTGATCCCATGTCCAATCAGACCCAACATTTGCAGATTCCAAAAGTGCTTTGAATGAATTTTTAGCATCCTGAGAAGAAAAGTGTGGTGAGACTAAATAATGCCAATAACAATAAAAGGGATATAATAATAATAATAATAATAATAATATGGCAATGTCTATTACTTGCTTATTGGCATAAGTAACAGGCTCTTGATCAGTTGCTTTCTCTTCCAATGGACTGTTAACTTTCTCACCCACTACTACATCTTTTGCTTTTTCCTGGGAGAAACTACTTATCAGCTTGGCAGTAAAACACATTCAGCATGCATTCCCATACACAGACATATTATTAACAGAAATGAGAATATTAAACAATCAAATACATCTGCAACTGATCAAAAAAAGAAAAAAAATATAAAAAATCAAATACCTCTGCATTCTGAGAAGAAACTCCATCTGTAGAACTAAGAACATCCAGAACCGGAGCATTGCTGGAATTATCCCTACAAAATTAGAGCCAAAATGATAGTCAAACAAGCCAAATCTGCTAAAAGTGCATCAATGAAATGATTATGTTGATCATACATTGGTGCCACAGCAGAATTGACAATGGCAACAGAAACTCCAACACTATCTGAGGTAGCATTAGGAGATACAACAGTATCTGCAATTTTCTGAACTCCATCTGTATTTGCTACGATGGTTGAAGAGCCAATAGGAGAAGTTGATGATCCAGAAACTGCTTTAGGTTCCACGTTGCTTGTAGCAGCAACAGGTACTACTGGAACTGGGCTTGATTCAGCTCCATGAACTGTTGCAGATGATGTATCACCACCAGCTGGAACTTTAACCACAGGAGGAACTGATGTTGAAATATAAGAGAACATTTCTGACTGTGTTGCTTTGGCAGATGCCTTTTCTACTTGTTCACGGGCCAACTTGAATTATTAATTTATTATCAGACAAGTAACGAAAAGTAAGAAACCAAACTAGAAAAATCAAGATAGGAAAAGTAAACAGGTTGTTCTGGGAAGAAACCTTCAGTTCCTCTGGGATTGACCAGGTTGATTGACTTGTAACCTTGTTATGGTAATACCTACAGAATATTCACGGGAAAAATATAATCAACAAATTCAATTATTAAACATGCAAAGACCAGCTAGAAAGAATATGTATCAAATCACGCACTTTCTTCCATCAGGACTAGTAAACTCTTTCCAGTTAGTGGATGCATCAGCCCGCTGTAATATTAACAAGAGTGAAGGTTAATCAAAATTTAGTCAGAAAGTGTGATTAAAGCAATTAGACCATAAGCATTTGGAACAGTTAAAAGACAAGAGTACAAACTTTTCAAAGGCAAATATAGGTTAAATAGATGATACCAGGACATCTACATATCTACTACTAAATCAATTAACATTACATTTTGCACATAACTAGTCTCCACAACCCATGTGAAAAATTCGAGGCAGTGAGGAAAAAGAAAACTTTTGAGCACTACCAGAAGATCATGGCATTAATGAACAAGCAATAGCAATTATAAAAAGACAAATGAAAAACATGATTAAGCAAACTTCAAATCCATATAAAATCATGCAATAGAATTGAAGGAATGGAAAAAATACAAATGACAGAATTACTAACATTCATGCTATTAAGTAGGTAGAGCAAGCAGCAAAGACCCACAGCATATCCTACCTCTCAATAAAGTAGCACAGCATGTACCTGTAAGCACCTTTAAAGCTAGGGAAGTCACACAAGGCTTGTAAAGATATAGCAATGCAATAAAAAGAACTCTAAAAGGCCATATGCCATTCAACTTATATGACAAGATATGAATGGCACCAGCAAAACACAAATAGGGCAGTACCGTGAAGTACTTACTCCAAAGAGATTACCTTGGAAGAACATAAATGTAAAAGAGCAGGATTCAAAAATGAAAATAATAAAACAGGACATAAGCATCTCAATAAACTACACAATCACATTCCAAATCTACACAACATTCCAGGAAACTTCTGAGAAAAGAATATCCAGAGTCATATAGAAATTTATTTTTCAGTACACACTCATGGTGATACACTGGAAGTATTTTTAAAATAGTCAGCCAAGCAATCAACATCAATTGACAACCACAAATAAGGTGTTTCCTTTTTCAAGTCAAAAATGGCAAAGCAACTATTTCCTCAGATAATAATCGGAAGAAAAGAGACAATAAGGGCAATTGTGTGGAATAGAGACTTATTGGTCTCAAAGAATTTACCCTTGAAAAAAAAAATCTGATCAAACATAAAATTAGAAGAGGTAATATCAAGGAAAATAAGTTTCTAAAAGGTCATTAAATAAAACACACAAACTATGGCCAACTTAAGCAACTATTCTGTTATAAAAGCTCTGTCCCTCCATGAGCTTGTATTCTATTGGACAACAGCTTCACCCAAACCTAAAAGTTCTCAACAACTTTGTCTCAATGAGGGCAGAGAATATAATATCAAAGTCACTGGAAATTCAGACAAAATAGTAAATAGAATTAGACCTGATAAATCATAAATTGGAAGCTCCAAACATGATTACCACCTTAAATAGTGAGTTAAAATGTTCTCTGCTATATTAGACTCAAATTATTCTTCTGGTCTAACACACAGGGAATAGAATGACTAGGCCTCAACTCAACAAAACTTGGAAGGAAACTCACCTAAAATTTGATTAACCATAAAATTAAAACAAAAAAAGGGCCTAGAAATTAAGAAAAATGAGTTCCTATAAAGTAATTAAATAAAGGGCACTAACTCTGACCAACTCAAGCAAATTCTCTGTTATAAACTTTTTGTCCCTCCTTCATAAGCTTGTATTCTAATTGGAGAGAGCTTCCTCTAAACCTAAAATTTCTTTACAATTGACTCAGTGAGGGCAGAGAATCTAATACCAAATAGCCACTCCAAATTCACACAAAATAGTAAATAGAATTAGACCTGATAAGCCATAAACTATAAGCTGGCAGCTTCAAAGATAATTTCTACCAGAAATAGTGAGCTAAGGAAGATGTTTTCTAACATGCAAGGAATAAGCAGACTATGCCTCAACTCAACAAAACTTGGTAGGAACTAACTTAACTGGTTAACTTGGAGTAATAGTAAAGGTTAAGCAGCTAGAAACAATCAACTCACCTCAATTGGCGTCATCAACACCCATGGCTTCTCCCAACTAGATTGTCTTGTCCTCTTATTGTAATAATATCTGAATATCAAGAAGAGAAGAATGCCAGCATTAAAGGACAGAGTAAAAGCATCTCCATGTAATAGCGCGAAACCATCATATTGTTCATACTATGGAGTAAGGAGGAGACCAAAAGGCATATATGCGTTTATGATGGTTGTCCCAACATTTAGACAACTTACAACACCAAATGCACAAACTGTTGCAAGGACTGAGGATGTTAGTGGGAAATGATCTTTCCCATCCAGGATTTTAAAGACACAAAAGATACATTTGGTTAGAATGAACGAAACAAAGAGAGAATGGAGCACATGGTGAAAATGAAGTAGAATGGAGTGATCATCCACACTTCACTATTTGGTAAGACTAAAGAAATTTTTGAATGAAATGGAAATGATGGCAATTTCCCCAAACCTAACAAACATAGAAACCCATTTTTAATGTTTATTTCTCTTTTCTTGGAATTGGGGCATTGAGCCCAGATAACTATATCTTTTCCAACTTTTGTTTATATATATATACTTTTCTCCTCCTTTACATTTCCAGAACCCTACCCTCATTTCCCCTCTCCCAAACCTTTCTGGTTGCTCAAACTCCCAATAATCTCTTTAGGTCTGCTTCTCCGTGGGTCTGTTTTTGATTTATTCTCTCTTTTCTTTTCTTTCTCTTCTTCTTTCCTTCTCTTTCTTCTTTTATCCTTCATTTGCAGTTCTTGTGACAATAAGACATCGTATTGGAAAACCAAATCAGGCAAATTCAATATTACCATTCAAATGAGCAGCCAGCGAACCCTAACATATGGTGAATCATGTTGCCATTCTTGTTCCAATTATTTATCTTTTTCAGTTTTTAAAATTCAAGATACATTTCTTTCACGGTTAAAATCAATGAATTATTCAGTTTAATTTTTGAAGTAATGTTTGTCTAATTTATCTCGATGTATTATATACACAACAAGACCACAACCCAACAATCTAAGATTTGATACAATGACCTAGACCTATAAGAACAAAGGTGGTTGACCAGCTTTGTTGGTCAAGGCCTTTGGTGGTTGTGCTAGGGACCTAAGCGCAAATCCCATTTTCAACAAGAAGGAAAGGGTATGGCCAAAACAACCATGGAGGAAAGTGAGTAAAAGAGTCATATTTATACCTCCTTCCATTGGCAGAAGTATGCTCTATCCAATCTGTTGAAGCCTCTTCAGTGGACCTAGGTTGAATACTAGCTGCCTGAAATTTTATGAAATTTCCAACCCAACATAACATCAGTTAAACAAAAAAACTCTCAATGTGTAAAGCAATAAGGTCCACAGAAAATCAGAAAAGAATTATAAGAAATCTGATTTATTATATGTGGCACCGGCACGGTTGGAAAGAAGCTAAGGGTTCTCACAGGTACAGAGGATGTGGTAACTGATGGTTGTTCACTGGTTTGCAGCAGAGGTGTTGAAGAAACATTGCTCTGGCTAACAGATACCGTCATCTGGCCTCCAGCAGGAATGCTTGTTGCATGCATCTGACTCACAGTCACAGGTTGATATTGAGGTGCAGCATTAACTGATACTGGCACCTGGCCATAACAAGATGGTGCAAACTGCAAAGACAAGAATCTATGAAATTTTGATCAAACAAATTAAAAAAAAAACATAGTACATAGTCTTGATGTATTACAGTATATGATGAAGAGGGATGTGATCCTGGGACACCTACACCAGGTGTGTAGTTATTTGGAGTTTGAGCATTTGGTTGAGGCCGCAGTGCTCCAGAAGTAACATGCATGTTTGGCTGCACAGGTGGCAGTGGAATTGACTGTGGTGCTGCTGGGACATGGCCTGGTTGGACAGGTCTTACTGGCAACTGCTGCATTAATGGAGTAAATTGTGGTTGCTGAGTTTGAGGAGGAAACCCAGTACCCATCGCAGTAACTCCTTGAGAAACATGCTGAAAGGGTTGAGGAGCCACTGGAACAAATTGCTGCAGCTGTTGTGCTGGAACAACAGGTCGGAACTGCAAGAAACATTCATAAAAAAAAGGGTTCCTCCAGATAAGTTGAATAATTTGAATACTATGCAAGTTATAAGAGTATACATATTGAATGTATTACCTGAACAGGCATGGGAGGTGCAAAATTTCGAATAGGATCCATAGAGCCAACTATAGGAGGTGGAGGAGGCTAATTCAAATAAAAAGAATCAAACAATCAACATGTGAAGTCAATCAGCATGTCAAGCATGGACCAGACACTCTAGAACCTTAATTGAAAAAACAAACGGAAATTGTATGGTTAAACTTTCACCACACAGAATGTCTTCAACTCTTTTGGACTTGCAGTAAATTTTACAGCCAACAAAAAGTTCAAAGATTTCATCGTTTAAAGGGGAGGGAAAAAAATGAACTTTGATTAATGTTCATTCAAAGAATATCTTAAAAAACAAAATAACATAATCTCATTAATCAACAAGCATACAAACTATGAAGAGCATAAAGTTATTGCTAGACTATTTTCTAACCTACCATGATTAGGGTTCCTAGAAATCTAATTACCAATTACAAAAAAAATAACCAGCAAGGAATCCAAGAAAATAAACCTAATAAGCTTGCATGAATAACCCTATGGTGCAGATTCTGCAGAAGTTGGAAAAATTACAACTCTGCCCCTAACCCTAAACATAAAAAATGTGCATAACTTAAACCAAAAGTCTAGATGAAAAAAATTAAAATCACTCAAACAAATAAAAATTGCATTCTTTACTGGCAAATGGATGCATCAAAAGGAATTCATAAGCATTTATGTCTTCAAAGAATCAAAGACTGAGCGGAAATTTGAATCAAATGAACATATAATGGAGTAATAGGAACTTCATTTTTATCATGGCCTACCTGCACGCCAGAAAATTGAGGGTTATTGGCCATCTCAGCAATTTGGCAAGCCACAAAGTGCACCTACAAAACTAAGAAATATCATTATCAGGTTAGAAGACCAAAATATAACATAGTAACATACTAAAATAGATGGTTATCTATAATAGAGAGGGGAGGAAAGTCATATGGAATTTTGGGGGAAAAATAATATCAAGATGTAGGTTACCATCAAAAAGTTCATAAAAAGAAAAAGAAGGAAATATGTGAAACTCCATCAATGCATCAAAAAAGGTAAATATAAGAGATAATTGTGTCTAAAAATACAAAGAAAATGAATGAAAAATTACAAAATCACCGGCTTACCAGATAAGGTGTCAAAAATTATAACATGCAGGCTCTGTCATGCACTACACAGGAAAATGTCTGGGTGATTCCCTTTGTTGCAACTGTTGAATAAGATTGAATTTCAATCATGACAGTAACAATCATGCAATAAGATAATCCATAGTGCTACATAAATAATAAAACCTGACTTGAATAACTGTTGAACGAGATTAAATTTCAATCACGATGGTAACAATCATGCAATTGGATAATCCATAGTGCTACATAAATAATAAAACCTGACTAGAATAGGCAAACTAATTTTCAAACCAAATGCCAATTATTGGAACATCAGCTTCCTACAACTTTCAAAGCCAAGATTGTGTAAAGCAACAAAGCCTAACCCCCACCCCCCCCCCCCCACAAAAAAAAAAAACACATGCATTCACACAATTGAACACACACCAACCAAAGTTTCAATTGCCAAGCCATTCCACTCCAAACAACCATACAGTCATTATAACATCCATAAATGGACTAAATTATAGTGCTTTAAACCTAAACCCAACCCAAAAACCCCAAATTTCCATAAACCCATAAACCCTAATTGAATGCACAACGCAATCCCACGCCTCAATTTTTTTCTTCTTTAAATTAAAAATCTGAATACAACATCTAGCCCTAATTCTTCCCAATCGAAATTTAACTAGAAACTTATGTTAATTCGAACAAAAAATAAACAAAACAACAACAGCAGTACGCAAAATTCATATGAGGAGCATAGGAAGAGAAAAATCATAATTATTATATTTTCAATTGTAAAAATTATTTCGTCTGTCTTGGTTTCAGAGTGAGAAAGTAGGGGAGTACCTGTTAAGTGAGGTGCGGGTTTTGGAGCAGGCGCGTGTTCGAAAGAGAGAAACGAAATTTATACAGTGTACGCGGTAAGTGGTCATGCGGAATTGCGGGTGCTTTCTTTCTTGCCCTTATTGGGCTTTCGAAGTATTTATTTCGAGGGAAAGTAAAAAAAATTAAAAATTAAAATTAAAATTAAAAATAAAAGTAAATCATAATCCTTTACTGTTTTATTGTTTAAATTGTGATTTGTACTTTTGTAGTATAGGAATTTTTGTTTGAGGGAGGCCTTAATATTAACTTACCTTTCATAAGTTTATTATATTTTATAATTTAATATAATTTAAATTACAGAAGAATTTTTTTATTTCATAATAATTATTGAAGTTTATTTTGTGTGGACTGTAATTATGATTGAAACAGGAATATCTTAAATTTTTTTATCAATAAAAATTAAATATTAAATATTAAATTTGTAATTAAAAATATAAATAATTTTAATATTAAATTACATAATTGACGATAAATGAGGAATATCTTAATATTAAAAGGTTTTTATCCCTTTATCAATATTTCTTTTCTTTTCTGGCCAACTTTATTAACTAGTGCTGAATTTTTCATTATTTTCTCTGTTTTTTTTTTATTGTGATATGTCAATACTTCATTTGTGTCCGTAAGGTTTTTATTTTACATAGTTTTCAATTATTGCTAGTTCTTTTTTCTTTTTCTTTTTTTTGATGTGTGCATGTCTTGTATAATTATATATTTATATGCTTCAAGATGATGAAGAATAGTATGCCTTTTAATAATAAAATGATCTTTGTGACTGACTATTATGAGAAAACGGTGATACATAGTTTTCAATTGTTGCTAGTTCTCTTTTTGTTTTTTTGTTTCTAATGTGTGCATGTCTTTTATAATTATATATTTGTATGCTTCAAGATGATGAAGAACAATATGCCTTTCAATAATAAAATGATCTTTGTCATTCACCATTATGGGAAAACGGTGATACATAGTTTTCAATTGTTGCTAGTTCTCCTTCTGTTTGTTTTTTTTTTTTTTTTTATGTGTGCATATCTTGTATAATTAAATATTTATATGCTTCAAGATGATAAAGAACAGTATGCCTTTCAATAATAAAATGATTTTTTTGATTGCTTGTTATGGGAAAACGGTAATTACTGAACTAACGTGAGGCTTTTTTGGGTAACCTTCCTAGTTGTTAAATATGTATGTCTGTACTTGAAAATTGATTAAGTGTCCAAGAAAGAAGTAAGGGACAGTAGATTACTGGCACATTTAGTGGAGCTTGGGTTGAATACTGGTGTCTCATGTCACCTGGTCGATCCCCATTTCCATATGAAACATGACTTCTTTGGATCAATGTTCCATAATCGAAAAAAGAATGCATTGGCCTATAAAGTGAGATTGGCAATGTTAAATTGCTATACTAGATTTCCTATGCTACTACAGTACTACTCCCCGATGTTTTACTTATTGAAATGTTGGATGGTTACAATGTCTAGTTGTCTAGCATTGTAGAGAACCATGGACCGATAATCTTGCTATCTAATATCTATTTTCAAAGTGCTGGTTTGCCATGTCTCTAATGAAGTGTTGATCTAGATCTTAATGGACTAACCTTGTTTCCAAGGAAACTTAGTATTTATAAAATGAAACTTATTTTCAAAGAAAATACTAATATTAATGGAAACAGTATGCTTGTATAATCTAATTCATATAATATAAACCATGACTTTGTTAATTTATGGTGCAGGTGTTCGTCTTCTAGTTCTAACTCCATAATTTCATCAAAATGCCCGGTAAAGTTTAGGTGAAATTCAGCTCTCTCAAAAAAAATTTTTACATGTCACTACTAATTCTGTCTTCTTTTTTTATTTATTTTTGGATTATTTGGCTTTTTTTTTAGATAATATAGCATTAGAGGAGTCTCATGAGAACTTGGATATTGCAACTGGTGCTAGTGTTAATATCTTCAAGGTTCTTGGGAATGCTTTCTTCGAAATTGACACGGATATGGTAGTCTATGTTATTCTATAATTTTATTTATTTATGATTCTAATTTATAAATTTAGAATAATGATTTAATTTATCATAATTGATATGAAGATATTCTTGCTAAGTTACAGTTGAATTATAATGATAGGAAAATGAGGACCTTAATAATAATCAAACTGAGCAAGAGGTTGAGGCACCCACTCTAGTGAATGAAGCTGGTAATATTGGTTCTGGTTTTGCATCTAAAAATCAAAGAAAAAGAAAATGTCATGTTGAAGATACTACAACTAATAGTAATGAGGGTCCTGTGCTTGTCCCTATTATTGATGATGGTCCTATTCTTGTAAATCAAGAACCCCAATTAAGATCTCCTACATGGAATCACTTTATTCTGATCATGGTTAGGGAAAAGAAAATGGGCAGGTGTAAGTACTGCAAGACACTTGTTCTTGTTGACAACAAGAAGAATTGGACTTCAAGTCTACTAAATCATGTTAATCATTGCAAACTTCATCCTGATAACAAACCTAAACAAAACCTAAAGCAAAGCATGATTAAATTTAAAACTGTTGTTGATGATCATGGAAATGAGGTTATTTCAATGACGAACTGGAAGTTTGATGCAGTAGCTATTAGGAAGGCTTTAGCCATGTTGGTAATAATGGATGAGCTTCCTTTTTGTATTGTAGAAAAGGCATGTTTTAGGAGATTCTATTAGGTTGCTTTTCCTCCTGATTTTAAGGTTCCTTCTAGGAGAGGTTTAACTAGAGATTGTTTAAAAATTTATGATGATGAGAAGAAAAAATTGAAGTCATTCTTTGCTAAGAGCAAGCATCGGGTCTCTCTCACCACTAACACATAAACATCAAAACAAAGACTTTCTTATATGTCACTAACTTCTCATTACATAGATGATGATTGGAAACTTCAAAAGAAGATTATAAGCTTTAAACCTGTTACTAGTCATAGAGGTGATGAGTTGGGTGACATGGTCGAGAGTTGTGTACTTGAGTGGGAGATAGAGGGACTATACTGCATTACCTTAGATAATGCAAGTGCAAATGATGGTGTTGTGAATTCAGTTAATCAATCTTTACGTAAGTGGGAACAAGTATGATGGAAAGCAAGTTGTTGCACATGCGTTGTACTGCTCATATTGTCAACATAGTGGTTGTTGAAGGATTGAAGGAGTAACAGCATTTTGTTGATGTTGTTAGGGCTGCCTGCAAGTACATTAGGCAGAGTACACAAAGGTAGACAAGTTTTCAAGATGCTGCACAAAGGGAAAAGGCTAAATTTAACAAGCATTTATGGTTGGATTCAAACACAAGATGGAACTCAACCTACACAATGTTGGAAAGGGCTATTCAGTATGAGAGAGCTTTTGAGAGGTAATATCTTTATGAATCTTATATTTTTTATTTTTTATTTTTTTTACTTTTCCTTCTAATCTTTACTTCTTCTTCTTTTCTTTTCTTTTTTTTTTTTTTGTGCAAGGTATACCAAGCAAGATCCTTTCTACAAATTGGATCTAAATTCTGGTGATAATGCTACTCGACCTCCAGAAGTAGATGATTGGGAAAAGGTTAAAAGGCTTGTTGTTTTCCTTGAACATTTTTATGAGTTACCTTTAAGAGTGAGTGGTAGCTAGTATCTAACCACTAATTTCTTCATACCACAAATCAGTGATCTTTTTCTAATGTTGAATGATTTTATTACAAAAAATGGTGTGGAAATGAAACTTAAAAAGATGGCTCAAGGGATGAAAAAAAATTTGACAAGTATTGGGGAGACCCATACAAAATGAATCTGAACATTTTCTTTGCCTTGGTGTTGGATCCAAGGCACAAGCTAGATGTGGTTCAATACATCTTGACAACCATGTATAAGCCAAAAATAAGTGTGAAACTTGGGTTGTTTGTTAAGTCTGAGATGGAAAGACTTTATGAACATTATAGAAGATCAATTCAGCTATCCAAAGATCTTCTTCTGCTAGGGATGAGAGTCCAATTAAAACTTGCACTTCAACAATGACAAGTTCTTCAAAGTCTTTTGTTTCTAGTAATAGTTCTTAATTTTTTTCTTTGGTTTAATTTTATACTTATAGGTATACTAATGTATTTACTTAATTATTTTAGGAGGTGCCTTTAGTAAAAGGACTCTTACTACTTATAAGATGCAAAAAGAGATTGAAGCTGGGATTAGATGTGAAAAGACTGATTTAGATAAGTACCTCAAGGAAGATCAAGAAGGAGATTCAGAGGATTTTGATTTGCTCTCATGGTGGAAGGTATAACAAAAAAAAAAAAAAAAATCTTAGCATGATATGCTTCTACTTAGAGTACTTCTTTTTTTTTGTTAGTTTTCTTAAGCTGATTATTACTACTTTTTAGAGTAATTTTTGTAGGTTCCTTATCCTCTCCGCAATGGCTAGAAACATTTTAGCTATTCCAATTTCTATAGTTGCCTCAAAGTGTGCTTTTAGCACAAGTGAAAGAGTCTTGTCTAACTCTAAGAGTTCTTTATCTCCTAAAACAGTTGAGACTCTACTCTATACCCAGGATTGGTTAAGGCCTGAGGAAGGACTTATTGTTATTGATGAAAAAGATATTGACAATATTGAGGCAATTGAGAAAGGTAATAACATATCTAACTTCTTTTATGAATCCTAATCTTGTTTTTTCTTTTCTTTTCTTTTCTTGTCTTTATAGCTTATACCCTGCCTTTATGTTTAACTTGGTTATGACTTATGAATTTGACTTGTGCATTTTTACTTTGTCAAATTCCAATGGGAGCTCTCCAAATTCTGTTGTTCTCGATGGTTGATCTAATATGGCTCTGGCTCTGGCTCTGCAAATGTTTTTTTTTTTTGTTAATATGTATTACGTCTCAAACATAAACAGTACATAGTATTTGATAATTCTTATAGTCTTTGCACAGCACTTACTATCACTAACTATACTCAGCTTAGCTAAGGCACTTAACAATGGGAACTTAGGAAGCTGTGAAGAATCAGTGGATTCATTGCAAGCCAAGTTTTTGTGTTTTTGTTGATGAGCTTGGTCTTCTTCTCTTAGACTGGTAGTTGGTAAATATGTCTAATGTCTATTGAATTGAATGTTGGCTTATTGGTTGTAGTCATAGGCCAATTGTTTGCTTTTTGTTTTTGTAAACTTAGTCTACTTGCACAATATGATTAGTCTTACAATCTTATGAAATCATTTATGCATCCATGTTGCTTTTATATTGTTCAAATTTGGAAATGCGAAATGAATGCTTATCTATGAGAATGGTTATCTATGAGACTAGGAGTTTATTGTTTTACAATATAGTTAATTAATTCCTTTGCTTGGTTCATTAATTGTGCATCATAAATTTGTAAATATTAATGATAGCAATACAAAAACAAAATGATAAGTTTGAGCTTTTAAGATTGAATTTTGAATGACTTGAATTAATTGATAATGAAGAAAATAAGTTTAAAGATGGTAATATGGGATGGTATTGGTAAGACAAGTTTCATTACCGTTAAAAACGGTTGGCAACCATTATCAAAAAATCATCAATTGGTATGGAAGTAGTAAATTTTTTTCATTATTACTTAGAACGGTTACCATCATTTGAGAGTGGTACGATAACCGTACCATACCATGCCCAGCCTTATCCTCAATAATGGTGTTAGCATCCAATATTCTAATATGCAATATATTTAAGGTGATGTTATAGAGATAATTTTTTTATATTATTTTTTTATATAATTTTTACATATCATTAAATAAATAGCTGTATTTAATATTACGAGTTTCATATAAATAAAAGAAACTAATCATTTAAATAACATGTTGAATTATATCAAAATGTGATAAAAAAATTATCCCAAAATCATTTTTCTATGTCTAATTAAAATTACAAAAGAGTCTTATATAGTTGCTCCGACTAGCTTATAATTACCTTCACAAGGAGCAAGCGGCAAAATACTCAAATCCACCTCCAAAGTATAGTGGTAGGGATGGGCCTACTCCGAACAAAAAATGAGGATAAATTTGCCCACAAAATTTTTAACTTAGACAAATTACCCCAAATTGAACATGTGACATTATCTGACGTTAATAATCTATTAATTTATTATATCGCTAATAACATATTGCTATTGTCAGATGATGTCAAATTAACAAATTGCTAACATCAGATGATATCACACGTTAAATTTAAGGTGATTTATCTAAATCAAAAATCTTGTGAGTGAATTTATCCATATTTCTTATTCGAAAGTAGATCCATCCTTGCCACTAGGGTGTATATTAGTATTCTGCTGGAGCAAGCTATCATAGGATATACAATGAAATTTTTTTTTCCATTATTATATTTAAAATGAGAATTAAGGCACAACTTTTTCATTTGAGTATTTTTCAATGTAGAGATTCCGGCTTCTTTTTTTCTTTTTGTCCCTAAAGAGGCAGCTTTATTGTTGATCCAACGGCTAACAGTAAATATCAATGAGATTAATTTTTATCTAAGTTAAATAAAATTATGTCGATATAATTTCTTTTAAAATTTTTGGATTTTGGATTGTTTTACATAATTTAATTGGATCATTAATGTTGAATTAATATCAAAAAGAAATTTAAAACATGTTTCGTTGCGTCAAAACTTTTTTTACAAGATTATTTATATATTTTTACATCTTAATAATACAATAAAATGAGAATAATAGTAATATTTTTATTCTTTTTATCCCAAAATAATTGTTATCATTTAACTTTAAGTTTATTTCAAATTAATTATTAATTTTTTATTTTTTAAGATAGACAAATATTTTTTTACTTATAACTATATCATTATTTATTTATTTTGAATAATTATCTTATTATAAAATTAAAATTTTATTTTATCTGTTAGTTACTTTCCAACCCTATATTGGAGTGAAGAGGAAAGGAGAGGAGGGGAAGGGAAGGCAAGGGAAAAGAGGGGATCCTTTTCTCTTATTTAGATAGATAAGTAAATTAAAAGATAAAGTAAAGTAAAGAAAATTCTCCTTCTTCCTTCCTCTCCAATTTGTTCATAATCAAATAGAGAATTTTTTTCCTCTCCCTTCCTCTTCATTTTCCTCAATTTAAACATACTATAAGAATAATATAAAAGAGTATATGAATTGTTCACAAATTTTTAATTCGAAGAAAAAGTAAAAAAACAATAATTATTTTGAGACAAGGGAGTGGCATTTATTTTTTCTGATATAATTCTAATTAGTAAATTTTTTTCTCCCACCTTGTAAGGTAAAAAAATTTCTCCTTGCTTTTTTTATATGAAACTTATTTAACAACTTTTCTATTAACTTTTCCTATATTAATTTCTTTCTAAACATAGAAAAATTAACAATTTAAATAAAATTTTATTATAAATTTAGCAACTTTTTATGTAACACATTTTAATTTTTATATAGTAATTTCTTAATTATTTTTTCTATAAAAACTTTATCTAATAAAATTACCCTTTAACCAAATACTGCCTTTAAATTTAGAAATGAGTCACTTTTAATACTTTGTTAAAATTTAAGAATAGCTTTTACTTAAATTTGCCTAATTTAAGAACTATATTGCATTTAAGAGGTGTGTAGTTCAAGTAACATAAAATGCAAGTGAGGTAAAATAAAAGATAGGACGAGATTACCTTGTATTGCGCAATTAAAATTAAAAAAAAAAGAATTATATTGCATTTAAGCTCTGTAATGTTTTGTTTTGTTTCTTTTCAAAAGAATTAATGGAAACGACAGAGACCATGAACGGCAGAAATTAAAGGAGGGCTAATTTGCATCGATTGGGAAGTTTGAGGGCTTAAATAACGTTTTTAGTGTGAGGCTTACATGTTAATATGAGGTAAGTTTGAGGGCTTCATACTAGATTTTGCCCACAAAAAACCCTTACGCCTTCAAGCACCCTCATCCCTTGATAGTGAAAGCACTTCTTAAATTAATAATTTTTACCTGAATGCTCACCCTTGATGGATTGTGAGAAACAGTATGTGGTTATTAATAGTGGGTGTTATGGCAAATACCATGTAAATTACATTACTTGGATGATGTATTAGCAGTTAAATTATATGTCTTTAAATCAAAAATTTGTTATTGTCTCACTAGTGATATTTCAAAAATTTATCATCCCTTGTACTTTTTTTTCTCTTTTTGAAGTAAAGTAAATTTTATTGATTAATAAATAAAAAAAAAAACCTATATCACATCTACAAAGACAAAGATAGTCTTATCTTTTAGATAAGATTATAACATGTTATAAAACATATAGAAAGAAAGATAATAACAAATAGATTAATTTCAAAATCACTTTAACACTCAATTCTTAAGAAGTGTAGTGAAAATTATTTAATGACAATACTAAATAAGCTATTACTATTCACATACTTATTTATTAGAAGTTCTAGCTCAATTGGATACATTTTAATTTATTCTTAAGATATATTAATATAATATCCATGATGTCGTAGCTTAAACCATCCGAGGTTGTAAAAAGCACTAGGTGATGGTGGGTAGTTGCCCATAGCCTAATGCCTAGAGTGCTTAGGCGGTCTAGGCTCTAGGCATTGTTTTTTAATAAATTTTTTATATAATAAGAAGAAAATAAGGGAAAAAAGTGAGATAAATTTTAAAATTACAAAAAAAAAGAAAGGAAAATTAAACTTTTTCTATAATTCTATCCCTTATCATTTTAAATAGAAAAATTAAACTTTTTTCTATAATTCTATCCATTATCATTTTAAATTTACTTATCTTAATTATTTCATTGTGCAGGCTCTATGTGTGGATGAAACAAGTTAGCACTTACACTTAGTACAAAAAAATGTAAATTTGGAGGCAAAAAATTATGCTTCCTACATATGTAAAGCATGTAAAATCATGTTACATTTATGTGTACTGTTAATATAATTCGGTACTTTCATTAAGTGAATAGAAACTCTAGAAGACAAGCATAAAATGACATACTAAATGCAATTGTGCTAATGATGTATGGTTTGACAATGATGCAATCATGTAGATCTTAGGAGGAAACTTGCAATTGCTATAGAATGATGTGTTTTCATATCCAAGCTCATAAAGGATGTATTTAGAAAGTAAATCATCCTGAATTAAAGCACAATGAAAACTGTCATAGTTTAAAATAATCAAACGTTCTTTTAGGGCAACTAAGCACATCACTATTTAATCTCCAGGAAATAGAAGGTCATTACATCTTTAACCTCACACTAACAATGACAACCCCATGCATGGGAATTAACTTTAATTGAAAGCCAAGTACACAATAAAAAAAAAAAAAAATCAACTGTGGTATAAATCACTAAAATGCAACTAAATCCTTAACAAATAATTAAGTCAATTTTTTCTTTATATTAAAACTTTATAACCTCATTTCTAGGCTTAAATGCTCTAAATCTTTTATATTCTTCTTATTATTTAGGTGAGAATTTGCTTTTTAGTTGACAAAATCTTCACACTGCAAACTTTTCTGTTAACTGCTACAGTAACTGATAGTGAATAATAACTGATAGTGAATAATGACAAATGAAATACTAACCATTCAGTGCATGAGCTCTGTAAATGTATAAGTATAACATTTGATTGGTTTGCCTCATCTCTGCCACTACAATTCCAGCTCCATTAACATAGTGTAGCATTGGGTCCCATAACCTGGAAAAAAATTTAAGAACACAAGGAATAAGCAAAACTCACATAGACACATATGCATAAGAATACCACTTTCTGATATTTGTACACATGTTGACCAAAAAAACTAAATTTTTGAATAAAAATAAGAATCAAGTGATAGGTTAGTGAATTTTACCTCTGAGACTTTAGAAGACTAGCAAATTCCACACTCCACAGATGATTGCATTTTCTTGCATCTCTTCACTAGCAGGGAGCACCACAGAGCACAAAATTATTTTCCAATTTGCAATTAGAAACCAGTAAAGTTTCAGTTTGTGAAATGGATTGCCCATGGTTAAGAAGAAAGGCCTAATTATCCAATGGCTCTAGCCTCAAACAATACCATCATTTTTGTAACAAGATGAGAGTCAAAACTCAAAAAACAAAACTAAAATAAAGTTGCATTGCACTGCCAATCTAAAATCCAAAATCCAAATCCATGAAGTCATAAACAGTAAAAGAACTAAAAATCTTAAATCCAAATGGAAAAAACAAAATGATAGTTGAAACTTGAAACATAATTGCATTCTTGCACTATTGTGCTAAATTAAAATCCAAATCCATAGACAAAAAAAGAACTTAAATCCAAATGCCAAAAAACTAAAATATAGTTGCTGCACAGTACTACTGTCTACTATGCTAAACTAAAATCCAAAAACATACACAAAATAGAACTAAAATCCAACTGCAATTATTCATTGTCAGACCAAGGTTCTGCATCATCTCCTTGAAATTGGAGCACCCTATCTTCATCACTATCAACAAATCCAACATCTTCATCTACCCTTGGTTCCTCCTCATCAAAAGACTCATCTAACTCTTCATTAAGCTCTGTCATTAGGGGAGGTTTAGGAGTAAATGAGACCTAGTGCTTCTTCTAGGCTCTAAAATTGAATTTGCCCTTGATGATTCTGCAACCACGGTACAAGAAATATTTGTTCTTGGAAATAAGTCATCTTCCTCACCAATATCACCATTTTCTACCAACCATCCTTGTGCATTAGTGGTATCATTGGCAAGTAAGATATCTCCATTCTCACTAGCCCTCTTTTTCTTGTTGGATAGTTTTACATTGAATTGAAAAAAAACCAAATCATTCAATCTAGAAGCTTCAAGCCTATTCCTTTTCTTAGTGTGTATCTATTAATGAAAGAAAGCACAAATATTAGTATCATATATTCATATGTAAGAAAATTTTAATTATGTAAAATAAAATTAGTACAATAAACAATCACTTACCCCCTCGAAGCAACTCCAATTTCGTTCACATCCTAAAGCACTCGAAGTCAAGGACAAAATTCTTATTGCCATTTTGCAGAGATATGGAGTTTTTGCTCTCCAAGTTGTCCACCATGCAACTAAAAGTTAACTAATTTACAAGAAATAAACAAATAGTTAAAAGTAATCTTAAATTAATTAAACATAAACATTAAGAAGCCAAAACAAAAGCACTAAATATATAATAATGTACTACTTGAATCAAAACTATCCATTGGAACCTGTGTTCCATTAATTGCACTTTTTCTTGAAAAGCAACCTACACGAAGCTTGTATATGGTCAACTCACTATTTTGAACTTCATAAATGGCATCCTCATCATTCATAAAAGCTTTTCAATGCAATCTAATGTGGCTAATTGAGGCTTTGAATCCATCCTCATACTTGGATCATTATAAAAATAATATGGATTCAACAACTATGCAGTCTTATGTAAGGATGTATCAAGCCTATCTTTACTCTATTCATCAATGATGTCCAAAACATGCTTGCATCCATTTTCATTGTTCTTATAAACTACTTGTATTTCCTGTTTTGTCTTCTCCAACTCTCCAAGAATGAAACCCATGGATGGTCTACCATCCCCATCAACTAGCCGCAAAACCTATAAAAGTTTGTAAATTACAAATTAAATATAGTAAACCAACATAGCAAATTCTAACTAATTGTGCAAAATGTCAAGTAAGAAAATATTATTAACATGGATAATAAAAAAATAACCAATTTGATATTAGAATAGAGGAAAATTTGAAAAAGGAAAGGAAAAAGACAAACCTTCATTAAAGGAGCAAAAATCTTCAAGCACATATTAAGATCTTTCCAAAGTGAAACAAGAAACATCATTGCTTTAGCTTGAATTCCCTTACCTAGATTTACACTGCTTGGACTTTTGCCATTCATCCAAAGTAAACATAAGCCTTAACTTCTCCTTTTTCTCATATAAGCTTTGCAAAGTGAGAAATGAGGTTGCAAATCTTGTGACTCCTGGCTTCACTATGTATGTCTTTAACGCATACTTAGGCATCAATGCTACTGTTCGATGTTGTGCATAGATGAAAATCGTAAGATTCTTAGCCTTTGTGATGGCATTATGGAATTTGGAGATCTTGCTAATTCTTTCAAGTATCAAGTCAATTGTGTGGACAGCACAACAACTCCAAAACAGCTTTGGCCTTTTTTCTAAAACAAGTCTTGCTACTGCATATTGTTTGCAGCATTATCAGTGACAACTTGAACAACATTTTCTTCTCCAACCTCATCAATACCCATATTAACATAATTGGCTATATACTCAGCTGTATCGGCATCCTCGGATTCCTCCTTGGATGAAAGAAAAATTGTTCCCAACCTTGAGTTTACGCATAAGTTCATGATGCTTCTACATTTTCTATCGGTCCAAGCATCCATCATTAATGAACACCAGTTTCTTTCCACTATTCTTCATGGTTTTTTAGTGATTCCTTTGTCCTTTCAACTTCTTTCTTTAAGAGGGGCACACTTAATTGATAACGACTAGGTGGTCGATAATCTCTCTGATGATTACCTACTGCCTCCATCATAGCAATGAAGCTTGGATGTGCAATGGCAGTGAAAAGGATGCCAGCTTGATAAACCCATCGTGCCACATATGGATGCACATCATTCATACGTTTTTTAGCAATGGAATCATCTAATCTTTGTTGTTTTAAGTCTTTTTCAAATATTTTACTGACATCCATGTTTTTCAAACTAAATTTATCTAATGGGCCAAGCTTCCTAAGTTGCTTTGCTAGGGGCTAAACAAGTATATCAATAGTATCAACATCTATTTCCATCCCTTACTGCATTTTAAGAGAATTAACATATTCTCTTATCTTAGTTAATTCTTGTGCTTTGTTATCTTTTGCTATCTTTACCCCGGCCAAAGCTTCCCAGCATCTTTTCTTAGCTTCATCTAAAACTTTCTGACATTTCTTAAAATTGGTTCCATAATGAGCAAGATGGCATTTTAATCTATAGATGCCACCTTTGAATATACTTCGGCAAAAGTTGCATTTTACAGCATTTAAATCTTTTGAATCACAGAGTTCTCCATAATCCCAACCCACATCATCTAATTTCCTCTTCAAAGAGGAAGAAGAGGAAGTTGAAGTTGCAGTTGCACTCACATTTGAGGCATCCGAAGAATGATTTGTATTCATTATATGGATTAAACTCTGGACAAAATAGATAAAAATAAAAAATTCAACTTCAAGTCTATGTTTGAGTCTAAAACAGAGGAATATGCAAGAATAAATATTCAAATTACAAAGCCAAATGTTACTAAAATTACAATTTACAACAACAGCACAAATTAGAAACAAATATATACATGTCTGAATTGTGTGACTACTAACTAAAAAATTTTTATAGAGGAAAATGTTCCTGAACATTTTCCGTTGAATACAAATTTTAACAAAAAATCAAGAATACAATAATAAAACAAAATTTTCAATTTTGAAGATGAAAGTTCGAAGTTTTCCATGAAATTATAAGATCAACATACCTTGAACCCAAATTAGGAACTCAAAGATGCGCTCAACTTTTCAAAACAAAGCAATTTGGGGGTAGAATATTACAGAGGATTGGAGTCCTGAAATTAGAACATGATCAACTTCACTATGGGGAAAAAAAGAAAAACAAAACGAGTAGAAAAAGGAACTAAATTACTGTTTGAGCTTTATTTTGTGTTTATATGCATAGATAAATCAAAGTGGGTTTGGGTTTGGAAATGGAAAATGAAGGGTCTTAGTGTCTCACTGTCTCAGAGAAGGAAGCGAGAAGAAGGCATAGTGAAAGGCCAAGAACGGGCAAATGGAAATGGGAATAAATAAGAATTAAGGTCATTTTTTATGATTTTTTTTTTTTGGACAAAGAAAACAATGTCATTTCATTAATTTGCAAAACCAAAAAAAATTTCCCAGGTACTATTAGGCGCGCTTAATTGCTTGAGCCCGTTTAATCCATTTAGGCGATTCAAACCGCACAGAACCATTGATTAGAGGCCAATGTGATGTACAAAGCCATCGCCCAACTACTAGGCGATGCTTAGACGCACTTTTTGCAACCCTGAAACCACCATTAACTCCATATAGAGAAAGACTCTTTGCGTGTTTCTTTTTCTTCTTCCTCATATATCTCACAATCAAACTTATGGAAACTTCTAATTAGGCAAAAGGAGACAAAGGGAAAGTCGTGGGGAAGGAATCAATAAGTATTATTAGATGTACAAAAAAAAAAAAAACAACATTAGAAGTTAAAGGAAAAAAATGGAAAGGATAAATTGGGAGAAAAGAAGGAACAAGGTAGAAGGAAAGGAAAGATGGAAGATTTAGAAGGAAAAAAGGGAGAAGGTAAGGCTGATGATTAGAATAAGCAAATGGAAACCAATCAAGTGGCACACAAAAGCAAAGAACACCTACCTAGCTAAAGAAGATATTAGAGAGCTTTAGAGCACTCATAGATTTTTCTACCTGCCCATTTCCTTTGTTTGTATTACTACATTAAAAATAAAAAATAAAAAATAAAAAAAGTTGATCATGTGCAACTTAACAAACGGAATGACCAAAAAGGTCTCAAAGTGATGGGTTAACTGTTAAGGAACCAAAAAGGCACAAAAAAAGGTTGAACACTAATTTGGTATACAATTGCAAGTTTGAAGTACCAGTCACATAGTCACCTTACCCAAAAATGGCAAATGGCCTAGTGGGCCAAGTAAGAAGATGTGACACGTAAGCTGAGTTGAAGTTGCCACGTGGATGGAAAATCAAAAACTACAGCCACACAAATCATCCTTGTCAGCTTCTTCTTCGCCCCGTCCACCTGTAACTCTTCTACAACTCTCTAGACATATGGACCCGTCTTTCTCGCCTTTTAAATTCTCCGTCTCGCTCTCGAATCCCTCAGTTTTGCAGTCTCCCCATTTCATTTCTCTAATGGCTACTCTCTTCATCACATCACATTCTTCTTTATCCTCATTTATCCCCAAAACCAACTTCAACAAGCAGAATATCTGCCGAACTCTGCCCATCGTCGTCTCCAATCCAGTTTGCCGAAGAACCCACTTCTATTTTTCTTTAAACTCAAAACCCACTTCGAGAAGGCTGAAACCGGTCAATTTCTCAGCCAAAGACGAGCAAGACGCTGATCCCTCTTCCTCATCTTCAGTTGTGGTGGTATCTGCGGAGCCAAGAGATGACAATGTCGCTCAAAAGGGTGTCCAGGAAAAAGAGTTGGGTGAAGAGAGTGAAGACGTGGAGGAGAAAGAGAAGCAGCAGGAAATGGATTGGAAAACGGATGAGGAGTTCAAGAAGTTCATGGGCAATCCTTCGATTGAGGCGGCGATAAAGCTGGAGAAGAAGAGAGCTGATAGGAAGCTGAAGGAGCTCGATAGAGAAAATAGTAGCAACCCACTTGTGGGGCTTTTCAATAGAGTGGTACGTGATAGTCTGACTAGGGAGAAAGAGAGGTTGGAGAAAGCTGAGGAGGCTTTCAAGGCTCTGGATCTTAATAAGGTGATTGTTTCCTTAATTTCTCCAAGATTTCTTTTATGGTAGTTATGTCTTTTTGTTAGATAATAGGTTTAATAATTGTTTGATGCAATTAAGGTGGTTACATGCCATTTGATGGTAGTTGCAATTTACATACTTTCATTGTTTTGATGTTGAGATGACAGTTAAAGAGCTGTTTCGGGTTTGATACATTCTTTGCAACGGATGTTCGTAGATTTGGAGATGGAGGAATTTTTATTGGTAATTTAAGGAGACCTATTGAAGAGGTAATCCCAAAGCTGGAGAAAAAGCTATCTGAAGCTGCGGGCAGGGAGGTTGTGGTATGGTTTATGGAAGAAAAAGCAAATGACATTACAAAGCAGGTATCATAACATGATCTGATTTTTTTTTGTTTTTTTTTTACCCATGGTATTTTTTAGAGTTTTATTTTTTGTTTTGTGTTTATGAATTCTCCAAAGAAATTATTTTCTAGATAAAAGAAACATTTTCTCACGTATGGTAGGCGTATGAGCTTGTACTAGTGCCTCCTTAGATGATTCAGGCTTGTAGAAGGGGCCGTAGTCCATAGAGAATCAAACTTGGTGTTGGATCATTTTCTATGCTTATGAAAAAGCAAAATTTTCTGATATCTAATTATTAAATCTATAAGTAGTAATACTTTCTTTGAATATGGCCAACTGTTTCTTGGTCCAAGGTTTCTTCTAGTTGATGCTGAATTCCTAAATAAAGCACATGGAGCAGGTCTAAGGCCTTAATTTTGGAGGTTAGCCCTCTTGCTAACCTCCTGCCATATCTTTCTGGCACAGCTCCCTGCGTCCCCAGCTATATGTTATTTGCAAAGTTCTTTTTCTCTCCTTAGTCTGAGTTATAATATTGTTCTTTAGTTTCTTTTTCTTTTCTATACTTTTTCTGCTAGTTTTATTTTTTGGCTATATAGAGTAATAGAGAAGAAAAACTTTTAAGTTTGCTTTTTAGTAACTAATTGAGTACTTCTTGGTTCTCAAGGCATGCGTGGTCCAGCCCAAATCAGAGATGGATCTCCAATTTGAGTCTACCAAGCTGAGCACTCCTTGGGGATATCTTAGTGCAATACTCCTATGTGTTGCAACTTTTGGGACAGTTGCTCTGATGAGTGGCTTCTTCCTGAAACCCAATGCTACATTTGATGACTACCTTGCTGATGTTGTGCCTCTCTTTGGTGGCTTCATCTCCATTCTCAGTGTTTCTGAGGTATTTCATGTTTTCTGTGTATGAACCTGTGATTCCCTAGAACCATTAATTGCACTTGAGTCATTGGATTGTATTATATTTGTTAAAAGGTTGTACAGCAGTCTCTTCATTAGCTTGCAGGGCTCAATGAAAAATGTTCCTAGTTTGAGGGTATCAATTGTAAAATTTTTTTATTGAATATACGTTTCTACTACACCTGATACATTTAATGTTATTGAAGGCCATATTTTTTATGTCCTGCAGATAGCTACAAGGGTAACAGCAGCTCGTTATGTTGTCAAACTCAGCCCGTCTTTTCTTGTGCCATCAAATTGGACAGGCTGTTTAGGGGTGATGAACAACTATGAGTCACTACTTCCCAATAAGAAGGCTCTTTTTGATATTCCAGTTGCACGCACAGCTAGTGCTTATTTGACATCGCTGCTACTTGCAATTGCTGCTTTTGTAGCTGATGGCAGTTTTAATGGTGGTGACAATGCATTGTAAGTTTTCTCTTTTCTGCTACTGGCAATTTAGAAATTCATATCTTGTTTTCTTTAAGAAGACAGTCAAAGAAGAGAACTGTGCAGGATTTTCTTAAGATTACAATTCTATCCTAAAGAAAATGACTAGAGAAAGAACTTCACAAGTTATTAACTTTTATATGCAAATGCATCCTTGATGGCAGGTTAGTAAAAGTGTGTGATTATGTATATAGTGAGTAATGGCTTGTTGGCAAATGCTAATTGCATTACCTTGGATGATGTATTTGCTGCTAATTTGCTGGTCTATAAATAAATAAATCAAGACTTTGTTTGGTAGTGTAAGTGGTCATACTTTATGAATTCATCAATACTACTGTTTACATCTGTTGTTCAATTGGAATAAACCCATTTTGAGATGTTTATAAGTTCTCTTTTCTTATAGGTACATAAGGCCGCAATTCTTCTACAACAATCCCTTGCTCTCTTTTATTCAATTTGTTATTGGACCGTATGCAGATGATCTTGGAAATGTACTGCCTTATGCTGTGGAAGGTGTCGGAGTCCCCGTTGATCCTCTTGCATTTGCTGGACTTTTGGGTAAGTCTCATGGCTTGTTGGTTGTTACTGCTTTTTAAGTTCATTTCAAATAAGACAAATTATTGATTCTGGGACTCATTTTAAACTGGAAAATATGTTTGTTGTTGCTTGCAATGCTGGGAATCGGAATTGAGAAATTATATTTAGCACGATGTAGACCCAAACTACTGACAAAAATTCATGATGGCTGAATTCAACAAGCTCTTGCAGTTTACACCCCTCCCTCCTTGTGGCCTCCTAATGCAGTCCATCTTGAAGCAAATACTCAATGTAAGCTAGCATGCTGGCTTATGTATTCTTTCTTTGCTGCTTCATGATTCTGCAGGAATGGTGGTAACTTCTTTGAACTTGTTGCCATGTGGAAGACTTGAAGGAGGGCGCATTGCTCAAGCAATGTTTGGAAGAAACACTGCTACCATTTTGTCATTTGCCACATCCCTTCTCCTAGGTATTGGTGGTCTGAGTGGAAGCGTTCTATGTTTGGCATGGGGATTATTTGCAACCTTCTTCAGGGGTGGAGAAGAAACACCTGCAAAGGATGAGATCACCCCATTGGGAGATGACAGGTATGCTTGGGGTATTGTTTTAGGGCTCATCTGCTTCCTAACTCTTTTCCCCAATGGAGGTGGTACCTTCTCTAACCCTTTCTTCAGTTCCCCATTTTTCAGAGGCGATTTGTAGGTACGTAACACGTTAATTGTGTATATTCTATCTAAATAAATGTATCATTGGGGTAAGTGTTGAACCATAGCTAGCTAATCATATCAAGATTAATATTGTCAAGTAAAAGAACGAAAGATGATTTTTTATTATTGGAAAGATGAAAGCTTGCAAACCTTAATTTTTATCGCATGTCTTGGTTAGGAATAAAATGATGGAATGTAATTCTTTTGTTTTAACTTTTTAGACACTAAATATAGACGAAAAAATGTTTTATAAAATAGATTGTATATTAAAAATATAATTTATTTTATGTATTTATGAGAATATTTTTAATGGAATTATTTTTTATATTATTTTATTAAAAAGATTTTAATGAATTTATAAAACAGATTGTATTTTTAATATATAGTTTGACCGTTAAACATTAAATTCAAATATAAATAAAAAATATTTTGTGATTTAAATTATAAAACAACAATTCATATAAATATATAGCTGGTTGTTTCATAGCTTTCATGGACGTGTGAGGGGAAAAAGGGTAATAGAATTAGCTTTTGTCATTGTAAATTGAGTTCCCTTCCTTTGAGTTTAATATAGAAGCACAATTTCCGTTTTTTAAGTATATTTTTTTATTACATTACAAGATTAATTACTTAATATACATATGTTTATGTTAGTTGTCAAATCTTTTTATTTTTAACAAAAAAAAAAAGATTACTAAACTATTTAACTCATTTATTAGTCACTTAATATTAGAAAGATTTGAAATTTTAATTGAAGGTCCCAAATTACAGTTTATCGGTTTCTTCTCCAATTTCACCGAGCCCCAAGAGCGAAATTGCCAATCAAGACCGCACTTTTTTTTTTTCTTTTTTTAAATATTCGTTCCCTTTTGTGTTTTGAAAAGCAGAAACAAAATAAAGCAATAAGAAACAAAAGCGTGAAGACAACGTCTGAACCACACTCCAATTCCAATTGGTTAAATGTGAATTTTGTTTCCTTAATTTTAAG